CTCCAGCCCGACTCCATCTGCTGGGCCCTGCAGTAAACATTCCAGAGATGGGCAAAACAAGCGTCTCTCCTGGGAAGGTGAGGTCTCATCGAGGCCAGAGCTGCATGGGTGGTACTGGGGTAGTGCAAAGTGCCCTGAGTTCCGGGTGAGAATCGAGTAGAGGGCTGCCAGTTGTGCAGGTTGAACACTGTACAGTGTGACCCACACATAGTAATCTGTGTAGATTTGTGAATTTATTACAATGATGTGCCAGTAGATGGCAGTAAAGTATCTTGAGGAAAGGCTACACTACCAACTATCCCTGGAAGATGTTATTCCTTCGCCTGGTCAAGGAGCATTTGTTAGACACATGTCTTGTGTCCTAGCTCAGCGTGCTGGTTGCTGGAGATACGGTGAGCATTGAGCCTCAGTTTCCGGTTGCCAGGCGCTTACAAACTAGATATCTGGGGACAGGGGACAGACAGCATGGAGTGAAAAGCATTATGATGGTAATAGGGACAAACGGCTGTAGGAACAGAGCAGGGACACCTAACCCAGCCAGAGAGCGGGTGCTGTCCAGGAACACTTCACAGAGTAGGTGTCACCCGTGAGGATCTTGGAACATGAGAAAGAGGTGGGTAGATAAGAAGAGTAGGAAGCCGCAAGAGCAGTGAGGACAGCACGCTCGAAGGCTCAGAGGCATAAAAGCACAGGGTGTATCTAGGGACTAGCAGGAGGCTGGGTGTGTCCATGCAGCAGACAGCATACTGGAGATCCCTGTCTCCTCCAGGATCATGAAGGACCCCAAGGGACTGGGCTGAATCCTCAAAATCTTAAAGTGTGAGCCCAGTTAGAGCTGTCTGGACCACGTGGGGAGGGATGCAGAGGGGCTGGCAGCCCTCACAGAGCAAGGCCACCTCTCTGTTGTTGCCATCATCATCCATCACTCATTGCACCTGTGGGACAGATCCAAGTCAGGTGAATCATAATTCTGCTTTATAATGCCCAAGGGGGTAAGATTATCTTTTATTTGTAGGTTCCCACTACACAGTGTCCGGTAGGGACACAGTAAACACTCAGTAGTTTTTTGTTGTTAGAGATTCTGTTTCAGGCCCTGGGCCACATACTTTGGAGCTCACTGTGTGCCAGGAACTATTCTAAGTGCTTTATGTGTCTTCATTTAATCCTCACAACAACCTGTGAGGTAGCTACTACTATTGTTTTCATTTCCCAAGCGTGGAAACTGAGGCACACAGAGGTTGAGAGACTTACCCCGGGTTGCACAGCAAGTGCGTGGAGGAGCTGGGATTGCATCCAGGTGTCTGCCTTGTTGCACGGAGGATGAAGTAAATTTCTCACCAGAGCCTTCCCTAGTAGATACTGTGGCCACTTGGCAAATAGGGAGACCGAGACCCAGGGGGTTTAGTGCTTATCTTAGAACATGTGCTCAGTGATTAGCAGAGGTAAGATTTTGTCCAAGCCTGTATGATTCCAAATCCATGTTTTTCTGTCATGCCGGTGATTATAATCATAGGTTTCCACCCTGAGATTGCAGGCCCACTCAGGACTTCTTTTAAACCCATGCAACAGGGATACCTGCCCTGATCCTGCTCTGGCCCTTGCTAGCAACACCCCTCTTGATAGGTAGAGAAGTTAGCAGAGCCGAGAAGATATACCCACCCAGACCTCAAAAACTGCACTCTTGGGCCATGCTCTCGGTACCCAAACCCTAGAATTCCCTGCCCAAAGGGAACTCAGCCCAATGCCAGGGCCAATACAGGCTAATCCTTTGGTCCATCCTCCTAAGAGGTGGCCAAGGGACAACCATTGTGGGAGGGGAGGGGAGAAGATGAAGTTTGGCCACATGGTCTGGCCATCAAAGCACCTGCTTCAGCAGCCTCAGTGGTGCAGGACAGAGAGGAGGGTGGGCGGAAGATGAGGGAGGATCACACGTGGAAAGGACCATGAACCAAGAGCTGGCAATCCCTCTGCCGCCGTGCTCTGGGGGTTACATCAAAAATCCTGATTTGTCTAAATTCTGAGTCTTCGAGGTCATTATGAAGTTGTATTTGTCAAGGGAGACAGACATGTTTTATTTAAATGTTTGCTAGCTTTATTTACCAATTTTAAATTTTAGACATAAATTTTAGACATATGACACATATGTTTGTTGTTTTGCCTTAGGCCCCACAAATACTAGCGGACGGCCTGTCTGGGATTCACTGATGGTACCTTTAAGGATTTGTGATAAAATTCACAAACCGTGAAAAGGTTCTCTTCGCATGAGGCTGGCTCCACGGGCATTTTATTGAAGACCATTGCTGGGAGGAAAACCAAAACCTTGCTTTCAATTCACACTAATATTTCCTGTTCCACTACAGTCCTGCCTAGTCGACATGTAAACCCGTCAGCATTATAAGAAAAGGTGGCGTTAATATCAGAGCTGTCAGCCAGTGATTCAGCAGTCTTGGGAAGGGATGAAGTCCACCGGTAGAGATAGACTTTGAAAGCAGACAGACTGAAGCAGGCAGAGAATTTGTAGAAAGGATTCTTTCACAAATAGAAGGTTGAAAAAACAGATGGCAACTTCCATCTTCCAGGGAAAAGAATAAGAAGAAACTAAGAAGGTTCTTGAATGTCATGCTTACAAATTATTGATTAGAACTCAAACATGTCGCCACACCTAGCTCGTGGGAGAGTTGGGATATACATTTTTATGTGTCTATCTATAAACTCTCTTACCGTGGGAAAAAGATTGACAGTGGGTCTTGGGACGCGAAAAGCTAGGTTTACGGAAATGCTGACACAGTGCCGGTTTACAGCAAGTGACTAACGACTATTAGTTGCATCATACCAACAATCAAAGAGCAAAAGGAAACTTCTACTTTTGCTTTGTGTGTGGTAGGATGTCTAAGCCCACAACACCCCAATGTAGCCGCTGTTTTTCAGAGTTGAACAAAAGCACAAATGTGGAAGTCCTGGGTATTTAGTCTCTCTGGGGATCAGTTTTCTCATCTATAGAATGGGAATAATAACGTCTTCTTGGTGGTGGTTGTGAGTGTTAATGAGAAAGACTATAGGTTAAACCCTCTAGCGTAGTTTCTGGCACAGTAAGTATTCAACAAGTGTTTTTTCATCAGTCTGTTCCCTCATTTATTCATTCAACAAATATGAACTGAGTTCCTACTGTGTGTTAATAAGCACTCTGGTAAATGCTGGGAAGAGAAGGATGAATAAGATAGATTGTTCCTAGCCTCAAGGAACTGTGTTTTGGTTTAATGGTACACAGGCATTAATCAGTTATTAATTATCACTAATTATAGTGATAAATTATGGATCAGGATTAGTGTGCTTATGGAGAAAAATGGACAAGTAGATGGATTTGAGAAATAATTAAAATGTAGAATCACTGGGAATCGGGAGGGAGAGAGAGGTAGCAAGGACGATGTCTGCACTTCCGCCTTGAGCAGTAGGTAGATGGGGATGCCGTTTACTGATAACGGGGAAGACAGAGGCAGGGATGTAGAAGAAAGCCTTGGAAGGAGGGACAGATGGTTGGTTGGATGGATGGATGATAGACAAAGGGATAAACAAAGACTGCTTTATTAGACAAATGGACAAAAAGAAATGGGTGGATGGATAGATCAATAATAAGTCCTTGACGGAGTATATAAGGCATAACTCAATAAAATAATATTGCATTATTTATTTATGTAGGATCCTTATTTCATTTGGTTCTCAAAATAACCCTTAGAAATATGTAGCGCACGCCGGGCGCGGTGACTCACACCTGTAATCCTAGCACTCTGGGAGGCCGAGGC